GTTTTTTTAAAGGATAAAGGCTATTTGGGCATGTTTGAAGGCAGTAGGGAAGGACTCAGCAGATAGGGAGAGGTTGAAGATGAGAAGAACGAGGTGTGTGGGGTAGGGTAGGGTGGGGAAGGAAAAAGATATAGAGTAGAAGTGAGATACAGGAGCAAGAGAGAGAGAGAGGGAGTGCAGTCTGCTGGAGAAAATGGGAGGGGATGGGGTTGAGCAGAGATATAGAGGGAATAGTTTTGACCAGGAGAAGGGCAACCTCATTATTAGAGACTAGGGAAGGGAGGAGAGAGAAGGAAATGATATCATGGAGTTTTGAGATGAATATAAGGGAAAAAAAAGGGAGCTCACATCAAACGGCCTGAATTTTCTCAGTAAATTGAGAGGCAAGGTCCTGGTGGTGGTGTGGTTGTAGGAGGTTTGAGGAAGGGTGACATGTGGAATAGCTTCTTTGAAGAAATAAGGAATCAGTTTGGAAGGAATAAAAGAATGTTTAACCTCTGTATTCTATTTTCATATTGCCCTCTGGTTTAAGTAGTTTGGGGCAATTTTCTTCTATGATCTTGTAAAATATAGTTTTGCAGGTTTTTTGATTTATCATGGTTTTTAGGATGTTCAGTGATTCTTCTCATTCAATTTTCCAGGTCAGTTATTTTTGCTCTTCTAAGCTTTAGTCTTTTGACCATTCTAACATTTCTCCTGTCATTGAAATGATAAAATCTGCTCCGTTCCATTTTTCATAATAAAACCTTGAGTGAGATTTTCAAACTTATTTTCTAGGCTTTTCACTATCAATTCTGAAAGTCCCATCTGTTTCTTCAGGAAGAAGTTGCCTCGGAGGGATTTGGTGTCTTTAGTACCAAAGTGAGGGTCTCACCTTCTCACTTCTATAATTGTGAAGACTTCCCCCACAGCAATGGGCAGATGAGAACAATTTGTTCCAATGGCCACAAAGGCAGCTGAAGCAGCTGCCATGGAGCAGATAGAGTCTGATCAGATATCAAAGACTCCCAAGTCATCCATTGCATCCTGGGTCATCACTAGTCGTCCTGAGTTTTGTCCTGCCACTGATGACTTCGATGACTCTGGGAGAGAGAGTTGATGACTTTGTGCAGTTCTGCCTCACTTAAATCCAACTCACACTCGAGCCAAGACGTCACCCTGTGTTGTCTTCTTTGAAAACAAAGGACAGAAAAAAGAAAACAAGGGACAGACAACAAGAACATGAAGTCTCCTTTGCAAACCACCCGATTTATTGCAATGACCAGCTTACAACAGAAAGGTCGGCGATAATGTTCATGATGTCATGTTTGCTTCTCAGGTCAGGTCAACTTTTCTGTGTTGTGATGGATTGATAGCTCAAGGATGTGCAATTATTTATTCCCTTTCCACATTTTTCCCTCAAGAGTTCTAGTTTCATTCTTTATCTCTGGCTTCAACTCCTCTCTCATCTCTTTTGGTAGGAGTCTGTGTGGCCAATTCGTTGTTTTTCTCCCTGGAGTTTTTCTGTAACTTGATTATAGCATTATCTTAAGCCATGGTATTTCTTCATTATGTAATGAGGGGACGAGCCAATGAGGGCTGAGTCCTTGGAATATGGGGACCTTTGCGCTTTCTGGTAGATTACACAGAACAGCAGCAATGTTACTTTTCTGGTTTCAATCGAAGATGTGGAGGCTTGGTGAGCCTTCTTCTGGCTCAGTGACACTTGAGGGGCTGGTTCTGTGGAGGGATGAAAGATCTGGCTGCAGAGCCAGGGAGATAGATGATGCCAGAGAGACTGTGCACAAAAAAATGAAGGGGGCAGTTTTGCTTTCTCCTCACTGGCGGCTTCTGAGGGAGGAGGATGGCTTTGAGCTCCCAGGGAGTGGGAAGATCAGTGGCTGCCTTCTCTCCCCACTTGGTCCCCATGTGTCCCTGAGCCTATGGTGACTGTTTCTTTTGTCTTCTTCTTTCCTGATCTTAGATGCATAATAGCAGCTAGCATTTATATGGCTCTTTAAAATTTGCAAAATGCCTTACAAATGTTATCTTATTTTATCCTCACAATAGCCCTGGGAGGTAGGCACTATGACTACTTGCATTTTATATATGAAGAAACTGATGCAGGCAGTGGTGAAGGGACTTGCCCTAGGTCACACAGCTAGGAAGTGTCTGAGGGTGGATTTGAACTCAAGTCTTCCTGACTGTAGGTCCAGTGTGCTAGCCACTTCACTACCTAGTCCCCCCCACCCCCACCCCGTTTCTTCCATCACTGCCATGGGACTTTTTCCAATTCATTTTTAAAAAAGAATGAGTATTCCGTGATGGAAGCTTTAAGAGGAACTTTGAAAACTCAACAAGAAGAATCAGTAGCAGTGACCACCAGAGTCAGGAGCAACGATAGATGAGTTCGGGAGGAAGGGGCTTTGGCCCCTTCCCATTTGGAATGGGGCTGCTGAAGGGAAGCTGGGACCCCTGGGAACTAACCGGCTTCCACCCTGGTCTTGGTGTCTTTCTTTTTTGGTGGGGATTATCTCACTGGGGCTTGTCTTAGCTCATCTCCCCTGCTTGTGAATCCTCTGCTTGATTTTGCTATCTCTCACTGTTCCTGCGACTGTTCTAGAGAAAACTGGGCTTGCCAGAAATCATTCACTTCCCCACTTTTGCCAGAAGACTCCTTTCTTTTATAAAAAAATTTTAATTTTTCCCAGTTACATGTAAAACAATTTTAACATTCACTTTTAACAAATTTTTAAGTTCCAAGTTCTCTCTCCCTGCCTCCCTTTCCCCTCCCTAATTAATTTGATGTAGGTTATACATGTGCAGACATGCAAAACATGTTTCCATATTAGTCCTATTGTGAAAGAAAACAGAGACAAAAAACCAAACAAGAAAAAGTTTTTAAACAAGTTTACTTTGATCCGCATTCAGACTCCATCAGTTCATTCTCTGGAAGTGGATAGCATTTGTCAACCTAAGTCCTCAGAATTGTCTTACGTTATTGTATTGCTGAGAATAGCTAAGTCATTCACAGTTGACCATCGTGCAATATTGCTGTTACTTTGTACAATGTTCTCCTGGTTCTGCTCACTTCACTTTGCATCAGTTCATGTAAGTCTTTTCCTGAAAGCATCTTACTCATCATTTCTTATAGCATGATAATATTCCATCACAATCATATACCACAACTTATTTAGCAATTGATGGTATCCCCTCACTTTCCAATTCTTAGCCACCACGAAGAGAGCTGCTATAAATAAGCTCATTTGTTTTATCAAACATCAAAGTGCAAGGTTGCATCAGTCCATCAATTAAAATCACTCTCTTATGTTGTTTTACTTCTCTGTTTAGAGGGACTATGTCTCGTGGGGAACCCAACTGGGAATGTGCTGGGGGTTTGCAGGATATATCAAAACAATGTTTAACCAAAAAGGAAAAAGAAATCTTTGGTCCTCCAACAGCTCTCCTAGGCCATGATTTGGAGGTCTTTTACTAGGCTCCTGAGGAAATTACAATTATGCTGTTTCATTTAATGATTGATTCTTTTCTCTAATAGACTATATTCCCCATTTTGTCAAGCCCCATAACTCCCGAAGCTCAAGAATAAGGTTTCTTCTAAGGCTGATTGAGCTTCCTTCTCTCTTTCTTGCCTTTCCTTCATAAACATCTAAGGTAATGTTCTTAATTTGTTCTGTAGTCACTCCATGCCACCCAGGACACCTCTTATGGAAATGCTTTCCTATCTCAGGTAGTGATTGATTAACAAAGCGTGTGCATCTCATGTATGATTGGGTCTCCAGTTTAGCATACCACTTAGTACTTCTGCACAATCTATCATTGCCCCTGGCAGCTTCTGGTCAGACCATGACACAAGTACTGTCAAACTCTCAAGATTCACGTGAACATTTTTATTGTGAAGGAAGGGCCGTATTGTCATAGAGAACAGAAAGAAAAAAATGGCCCTCGAGAAAGAAAGAGATGTTGGGTCTAGACAGCTTCTCAGAGGAATAGCGAGGCATAAAGGTGTGGCTGAAGGGTAGGGCCTGTGTTTTCCCAGAACCTGATGTCCTGGCCTAGTTAGCTCCATCCATCCCTCTCCCCAATCCCATGTCACCCTTAAGGTTGGGGACACATACTCTGATTGTTTGCTAGATACTGGGCCCTCTAAATCAGTCCTGGACTTTGTCAGAAGCACTGTGCTACTGTGTTCTCCGGAGACACAAATGAAGGAGAGCCAGTTTGAGGAACTTGGGTTCTACAGTGAGCTCCCATTTATTGGGCATTTTAAGGTTTACAAAGTGTTTTACATGTTATTTTATTCGATCCCCACAACAGCCCTGTGAGGTGGGTGCTATTATTATCATCCCCATTTTATAGATGAGGACACTGAGGCAGACAGAATTTAAATCAGCTTGCCCAGGGTCACATAGCTAGGGAGTGTCTGAGGTAGGATTCGAACCTAGGTCTTTCTCATTTTGAGCACATTGCTTTATCCACCATAACAGCAAGCTATCAGCCGTAGACATATATGCAAGGTAAGGACAATACATATATACATACATAAACACACATGTATACACACGCTTACACGTGGATGCACACACAGTATATATATGTACTGTATATATACATACCAGATATGCTATATGCACATGCACTATACACATTATGTACATTATATATAAAACATATACTATGTAGTATATATGTATGTGCATAGTATACATATACATATATATACATATATATATATATATATATATACTATGTAGTACACATGTATGTGCATAGTATATGTCTGTGTGCATACATATGAAATAAATGCACAGGAATCTCAAGGGGGAGACATTGCCAACCGCTGATAGGGTGGGGGGAAGGAGGAAAGCCCATTTTGGAGATGGCGCCTTAGCTACATCATTAAGCGAGCCAGGAATTCCATGAGAGAGATGAGGAACCAGAGCTTTCCAAACAGGGGAGATCACCTGAGGCAGGGAATGGGTCCGTTTGAATGGAGTAGGGAATATGGGAACAGGAGAAATAAGACTGGAAAGCATCAAATGCCAGGCCGAGGAGTCTGTATTTTGTGCTAGAGGTGATGGGGAATGGGTCGATTTCTTTTCTAATGCCTGAGAGACTTTGGTCAGATTCCCCCATAAAAAAGATCATCCCATCCACCTGTTGAAGAGCCTAGAATGCCGCCGTAAGAGTGGCACGGAATTACAGGGTTCACATGAGAAAGGGCCCGAGAGATGGTCTATTTCAGCCTTCTCATTTTACAGATGAGAAAAAGGAGAGAGATGAATTGACTTACCCAGGGTCACACAGAGAGTATGTAGCAGAGCTGGGATGAATTCAGGCATTCTGAAGTCAAGTCTAGTTAGATCTCGCCCCTCATTACATGCTTTTCCTTTGGGTTGGCCACTGTCCACTCGGGTTCCTCTTTTAAGATGCAAAGATCGGTGAAAGTACTTTTCCCATCAAAGATCCCATAATATTTGTTGAGTGAATAAAGCAGGTGGGTCCTCCCTGACTCGCTGTGAATGCTTTCTATTCTGCCTGGTGCTAGGGTAGAAGAAGGGAGCACAGACGAAGGGGAGAAGGGTGGAGGAAGGAGACAGAGGAGACACATTGGTTGACCTGCCCATCCTTCTGCCAAGGGTTGAGTTTTGCCTACAGAAGAGGGGGTGACCCCAGCCAGCCAGCAGCTCTACAGAGAAATCTTGCAGATCCATTTTTGGCTTAAGTTACAGTTCGCGTCATTCCAGGACTTCAGGTTTCCAGGTATCATATGGACACAATCTTCTGTTGATCCATTTCCTTGATCCCAGTTGTCCGGCTGATTGGCCCTCCAGAACCTAGGAGCAGAAGAGGGCTCTATTCTGGGAAGGAGAGGCTAAGCCCAATTGGCCCTGGCCCCCGAATCCCTCACGGACCTGTCTGGGAGTTAAGGAGGGATGAGCTTCCAGGCAAACACTGACTATAGGTGAGAAGTCCTGGGGCTGGATCCTCATCCACTGTAGGTTTGGGTTCGACTTGTGTGATCCGGACACTAATATCTCCTTTCTTCACCAGCGCTACTCACCTTCCTTCTACCATTTTGGCTGAATTGAGCAGTCAGGGTTTTATGGAGCCCTTTACAAGCAGGATCTCACTTGATCCTCGCAACCACCTTGTAAGGCAGGTGTTATTATTATTATATAGCCACAAAGAGGGGTCACAATAGCACCTCCCTCCCAGGGCTCGTATGAGGATTAAAGGAGATAAGATTTGTAACATCCTCAACACAGTGCCTGGCACGTAGGAGGTGGGCAGCTGGGTGGTGCGGTGGGTAAAGTGCCAGACCTAAAGTCAGGAAGAACTGAGTTCAGATCTGACCTTAGACATTTATGCTAGCTTGTGACCCTGGACAAGTCACTTAATCCCTGTTTGCCTCAGTTTCCTTATCTGTAAAATGAGAATAATAGCAGCCCCTCTCCTGCAGCGTTGTTGTGAGGATCAGATGAGATAATAATTGTGAAGTGCTTAGCATGGTACGCAGCACATAGCAGGTGTCATGTAAATATTAGTGCTTATTATTATGTTAATAATTTCCTTATATTCATTTTTACAAATAAAGAAAACTGTGTCTGAAAGAGAGTACATGATGTACAGGGTCACACAGCTAGTAAGTGTCTGGAGAATGATTTGAACTCAGATCTTTGGACTCCAACGCCAGAATTTATAAGATGTGCCATCTAGCTGCCTTGTTTTAAGAGAAGTGTCTTTACTTCCTAGGATTCCTGGACATCTGTTCCATTCAGGTGGTATCTGAGGGAAGCTCCCACACCCTTGAGTTTCCTCTCTCACATCATCAGCTACCGTTGGGCTTCCCAGCTTCTAGGCTTTTGTGGGTGCCCAGAGCCTTCTTTCCGATGCCCTGGCTCCATTTTCTCTCTTGGCTTTCCTGATGTTTATGCTTGGGAAAAAGGGAAGTTGGGAGGGGTACAAAGTGGAGAAACACCTACATGTGAGATGCATGTACCACTAAACACACACACACACACACACACCACTCTCTGCCTCTGTTTCTCTGTCTCTATCTCTGTCTCTCTGTCTCTGTCTCCTGGAGCTGCTACAAAGGAAGCATCAGGAATTAATCATGTGTTGGACTTACCCTTCATTCTTAGATTGATTATAAGGGTTCCCATCTACCCAATGCCAGATACCCTCACTGCCCTTGTCAGTCAGGCCGATCCAACTTGTCTCTGTACTTGTCTGGTAAAGAAATGCCTACAGAGGAAAATAAGCATGTATATAGTTTATACATTTCCTGAAGAGTGAAAGTCAGGGGCCCACAGATAGATGTGGGCAGTCCCAAGTGAGAGTGTTTTGTAACTGGGTAATTCAAGGCAGCATGGATTGGCTGGGGCAAGTGCAAGGAGATTCTCTCAGGGAATTGGTCAACTAACAAGTATTTAACAGAATCTCAAAGCTGGAAAAGACCGCAGAGATCTTCTCATCCACCCTACCACCTGGGGAAGGAATTCTTTCTTCAGTGTCTGGGGAAGGTGGTCATCCAGGTAAGAGTCAGCCTCAGGTCTATGGGGAGATAGTTTGTGGCCACTTTTCTAAGCAGTCCATCCCATTAGGAAAAGTTCTAATGACTAGGATGCTCTTTATATTGCTTTGTGTCCTACCTCCCCATACCTTTAACCCATTTGTTTTATTTCTGCCATTGGGAACAACACAGAAAAAAGCCTTGTCTCCTCTTCTACCTCAAAAGTCATCCCCTTTACTGCTCTGGCCCCATCTTTTGTTCTGTAGGCTAACCATCCCCGGTTCTTCCTTTATTTCTTATATTAGATTGCCTTCATCTTCCTGTGCATTTGGGTGGCATAATAGAAAATCATTGAATTTAAATTGAGAGCCTTTCATTCAGATCTTGAGTCTGACCTAGTTGACCCAAACTAGTGTCCTGGTGAAGATATAAGTCCCTGCAGAAGGGGTGGGCAGTATCGTAACCAATCAGTGTCTAGCAGAGCAGCATCTGAAGAAGACCAGAGACCCCACCTTATCCACAAGCCTGAAATCCTTTAGCCTCAGAGGTGTGAACCTCTCCTCCTCACACTTGCCTTGGCCACACTTCCCCATGGGTGTGATTTTCTACTTGTGTCCTCTGTGTGCAAACACTCTCCCAGCTGATACTTGGTGCATTTGTAAGAGTGCAAACCCCAGCTTTATTAGGCATGATGTCTCGTGGTTACTTTTCCTACTACGCCATTTCTATAAATGTTTTGTTGTTATTCAACCATTTCCAGCCACATCTGAGTCTTTGTGGCCCCATTTGGGGTTTCCTTGTTAAAGACACTAGAATAGTTTGCTGTTCCCTTCTCCAGGTCATTTTACAGATGAGGAAACTGAGGCAAACAGGGTTAAGTGACTTACCCAGGGTCACACAGCTAGTAAGTAGTCACATTTGAACTCAGGTCCTCCTGACTCCAGGCTCAGCACTCTATCTACTGTGCCGCCTTAGCTGTTTTGAGCTAATCCTAACTCTGACTCTGGTTGTTTCTTGAAGTATAAGAGTTATTATAATTTTAGGAGTGAGACCTACAGAGTACATTGAACTTGGGGTACCTGTCAACTAGGACACCTACCCTGTGAGTAGCATTATGGGTGGGGTTGCCCTTTTTGAACCCCACATATGAGTTTCCTAGAACTCTTGGGTCCAGATCAATCCTTCAGCTGGTGGACTTTTGGGTCTAGAAGACTGGTGAGCTCACAGCCATTTGATGACTGGTTATTATGCGTTGGTTTCTTGTTATTGTGGGCTTTTAAAAATTTTGTTTATTGATTCTATGTCAGGAGTAAAAATGCCATAAAGAGAATTTAACCATATTTTTCTGTTGCTATGGAGGGTTGCCGATCATGTGATTAAGGTGCCTTAGAGAGTTCAAAGAAGAAGGTGGAGTTTGGCTCAGAGCCCATTTTAATTGGGTGAATCCATGAAGCCAGCGTTCTTTGATCACAAACCAGTTCTGTTTCTACAGAGAGAGGCAGAGTTGAGGGATACATATCTGCTGACTCTCTTGAGAACTAAAGAGAGCATGGAACTTACTCAACATTTCTACTTAGCGGGACATGCCCACACTGCTAGGATAAATGCAGAATGTCTTGGGAACCAGAGCCCAGATTCCTTTCTGAAGAACAGGATTGGGTAAGTGGCTACCAAAGCTGCCTGGGATTCATATGTGATGGTCATGACCAAGCTGGCTTTTTGTGCTGATAAATGTTGAACAATGGGCTCTGTGGGGGAAAAAAAAAGTATTTATGACATTTTAAATCCCAATTTGCATTTTAATATTTTCCCATTACTTTCTTAAATCTAAATAATCAACAAAACAATAAGTCAAGTCCCGATCTGTAGTGTTTGCCAATTTCTGAGGGGTAAATGCTTACACCTGAAAATTTAACAATCAGCTCGGTGAGCCTGTACAGTCTGACTCTGGCATGCCCCTGAATATGAACTCCTTGAGGTCAGGGACTGCTTTGTTTCTGTTTTTGTATCCCTAGCACCTAGCCCAGTGCCTGTTAATAATTGAACTAAAATAAGTACCTGGTCTGGCCATTCCTATGGCCAAATTAGGCCCAAGCAGCCATCTCACAGACTTCTAACCAGTGAAGAAGAGATCTCTCTTGCCTCAGTGGTATTGGTGACCCACAGCAAGGACATGTGCTTGCCTAGTTGAGGTTGAGGCTGACCCTTAAGGCTTTAGCTGCTGTTTCCATTTATTTCTTTTTGTCAGCTCAGGTCAGTGAAAAATAATCCTGTGAAAGGGATGGTTCCAACCCTTTCGATAACCTCATGGCTTGGAGAGGGTACCTACTGCTCAGTGGAAGGTGCTTTCCGCAACTACACTGTAGAATATAGAGAATCCAGACTGGTGAGTCTGATCTCAATTCTTGGCCACATTCTAGAAGGTTTAGTTAAAGGGATGAACATTTATTTAAGGAAGCAGAGAGTTGGCAAGGTTTTATCTTATAAATCAGGGGTTTTGCCCGTAGTTGACTGGCTGGTACTTATCACTACCCTGCTCCATTCATCTTGGGAGATTTAATCAACTACATCCTGTTAAAAAACTAGTTCAATTTTTAGTTAAGGGACAATCTAATGACTGCCTGGATCTGTGTGATCCCTTCCTCTGTTGCTTTATGGAGTTTATATCAGACAAAAATTAAGAGTACAATCATCGTAACTCAGAGCCCCCGGCTATAGCATTCAAACATAGGTTTACCTCTGTACTTTAATTTAAATTTGTTTGTCTCTGTCTATCCTCTGGTCTCATCATTTTCTACCCAGCAGCTCTACTCTGAACTTCATAAACTTTTTGAGATTTCATCGTCTGCAAGATCACATCAACCCTGAGATTCACAGCTCTTCCTTACCCCATGCTCCTGGAGTCCTTCCTTTCCTCTGATGGGAGAGGGTGGAGGGTGGGCAGTGGAGAGCTTCTGCCAGATCCTCCATGTAAGGATGGCTCCCAGGGCAGCCATCTCATAATTTCCCACTTGGTGAAGTACTTCAGCATGTTCTCAGGCAGGTATCCTCCCTTCCCCTCTTTTTTTTTTTTTTGTTTCTTTTTATTTGTTATCTTCCCTCATGAGACTGTGAACTCCTTAAAGGCAGGGACCTCTTTTGCCTATCTTTATATGCCCAGCACTTAGGATAATACTTGCCACATAGTAGGTGCTTAATAAAAAATTAGTTTCTATGTTTGAGGCAAAAATCAAGAGACTGGAAATATTCAGGTAAAAGAAGCTAGCAGAAAATATTACAGTATCTGTAATTGGACAGGAATGAGGAAGAAAAGTTGAGGAAAGAGCAGACTATCTTTGGAGTGTCCCTTAGTTCTTAAAGAGTTCAGTATAACCAGTAATTTCAGTCTGAACTTTCTGTTCCTAGAAGTCTGTAGGGGGCCAGTTACCCTCCTCGATCTCGTCTTTCTCATTTGCAGCAGTTCACTCCTTTCATTCTCCCCCTTCAATCAGTCCTTTCAGTTTCTCTTGTTACTGTTTTTTTCATGTCACTGAGTCTCTCCTCATTAATTCTTGGTTGGGCTGGGAAGGCCGTCCTTGACTGCTACTCCTGCTTAACTCTTGAGGTTGCCACTCGTTCCTCTCAGTATGTCTCCAAGACAGTATGTGTCTCTGAGAGCTCCTGGGGCGTGACTTAAGTCTGCCTTCTAGCTCAAAGACCACAATTACTCCCAAATTGTTTTCAGGCTAAGAGGGGAATAAGTGTCCTGGATTAGAAATCCTAGGATGCCAGTGAATGCAGACTGTGTTTCCTTTTTTGACAGGTTTATTATACAGAATGAATTAAAAAAAATGATTAAGCACTTACTAATCTCAGACACGATGCTAAGCACTAGAGATACAGATACATGCCCCTGCCCTCAAGTAGCTTGCATTCTAATAGAAGAGGACAAAACCAGTAAAGGGCATGGAGGCCAGGTGCAGTACTTTGGACCAAAGAAAGGTGATTGGCGTCATAGAGCAAATGACTGGCATGCCTTTTGTGAAATGCTAGTGTTGATCTGATCACCTTTCTTTGAGTTAGAGTTGGGAAAAGGGTGGTGGTACCTGACTGGCAACACTTCATGGAGGTATTCAGGAAGTGGCATGATGGACCGAACACTGGACAAGATAAAGAGAAAGTTCACTAATCCCAGGGGTGGGACCTTTTCTTCCTAATGGAGGTGGAGGCTGGGCCTCAGGCAGTATGCCATGGAGATGGCTTGGAGCTGGTAGATTGGCTGGTAGAGGAGGGGAGGATTTAAAATTGAGCTGGATTTTTAGCAAAGCCTCCCGTGCTATTCTGATGGACAAGATGGATGGAAGAGAGCTAGGTGATAATACCATTGAGTTTTATTGGAACTGGCTGACTGACAAAACCCAAAGAATAGTGACTAATGGTTTAATTTTTAACTTGAAAGATGTTCAGTGGAGCACCTCAGAGATCTAGGGTTGATTTTATACTGTTTGTCAGTTTTATCAATGACTTGGATATAAGCAGAGATGGCATGCTTATCAAATTTGCAGATGACTCAAAACTGGGAGGAATAGAATCAATTTCAAAAAAGCTCTTGATGGTCTAGAATATTGGGCCAAATGTAATTAGATAAAATTTAACAGGGGCAAATGTCAAGTCTTACTGTGGGTTCAAAAATTCAATTATATAAATATGGACAAGTATGGCAAGACAGCAGGTCACTGGAAAAAGATCTGAGGGTTCTAGTAGACTGCAAGCTCAATGAGACAACAGTATGACTCAATAGTGGAAAAACAGATGCAATCTTGGGATGCTTTAAGAAAGACATAATGTCCAGGTTTAGCATAATCTCATTGCACTAAGTCCAGGTCAGACACCACAAGACTACAATATATTTAGTTCTGGGCACTGTAATTTAGGGAGGACATTAATATATAGTTGTAGAATGCCCAAGAAAGGGCAATGAGGATAATAAGAAGCTTTGGGCTCATGTCGTATTATGACTGATTGAAGAAACTGAGGGTATTTTGTCTGAAAAAGACATTTATGGATGGAAATATGACTGCTGCCTTCAAATGACATTGGTAATAATAATGAATATTTGTACATACCCTTGAAATTTACAAAGCATTTTGCGTACATTAACCCGTTTGAGTTATACAACAGCCCTGCAAAATGGATGCTGTGAGTATAATTTTTTCCATTTTTCAGATGAAGCAACTGAGATTCAGAGAGTTTAAGGTATATTCTCATGGTCACAGAGCTAGTAAGTGTCAGGAGAGGGATTGGAAAATGGGTTAGATTTGTTCTGCTTGGCACTAAAATGGAGGAAACAAGGAAGTGGCAGAGGGATGCATTTAGTTTTGATATCAAGAAAAACTTACTAACAACAAGAGTTACCTCAAGGTAGATAGGGCTGCCTCAGGAGCTAGTGGGTTTTCTATCAGAGGGCTTAGGGTGGAGGAAGGGTTGATTTCAAGGGAAGCCTGGATGACCATTTGCCAGTGGTCAAGAGAGGATTCTTGTAGAGATATCAGTTGGACTACTAGATGACTTCTTTCCAGTCATCCACATTTCCAATCTCAGAGTAATCCTTGATCTCTCACCCTCAACTCTACATATTCATTCAATTGCCAAGTCTTGCTTCTACTTTCCCAATATCTCTTGAATTTATTCCCTTCTCTTCACTCAAATGACCACCCTTCTGATTCAGGCCCTCTTCACTTCTCATCTGGACTATTGCAGTAGCTTCTCAAGTCCCTTGCTTCTCCAATCCATCCTTCACAAAGCAGCCAGATTTCCCTGCTCAATAAACTCCAAAGACTCCCTTTTTACATCTAGCATCAAATACAGATGCCTCTTGTTTAGTACATAAAGACCTGGACAGCCTGGCTCCAACCTACCTTTCCAGGATTATTAGGTATCACTTCCCTTCACACACTACAGAGTGTTTGGCCAAACATGTCTCCTTAACTGGTTTTGATCCAGCACACTCTATCTCATCTCCGTGTCTGTGCAGATCATCTCCCGTGACAGAGATGCATTCTCTCGTTACCTCCAATGCAATGAATCCATTTCCCCTCAAAGCTCACCCCATATGCCATTTCCTACATGTATCCATCACTTCCTCATCCTCCAAGTTGCTGCTGGTGCCTCCTGCATCTCTGCAACACAGTTGCCTTATCTTCGCTTTGTGTAGACTCGTGTGTTGACATGTTGTCTCTCCCAATAGGATGTAGCCTCCTAAAGGGCAGGGATTTTTTCCTTCTTTGTCTTGATTTTTTTTCCTGCCACTGGACTTCGATGACTCAGGAAGAGAGAGTGAGGCTGATGAGTGTGCAGCACTGCCTCACTTAAATCCAATTCACGTGCCAGTCATCACTTGTGATGTCATCGGTCCTCTTTGAAAATGAAAGAAGAACAGCAACCTTTGTATCCCCAGAGCTTACCCCCGTACAGTGTCTGGCACATAGAATGTAAGCTCCTTGAGGGCAAGGGATTGTTTTTTCTCTCTTTGTGTTCCAGCTCCTAGCAACTAGCAATAGGAACTTAAGCTCAATAAGGACTTATGATTAACCAATTGATTCTGCAGCCTCTTCCAACTCTGAGATTTTGATTGTGAGAAAAATACTAAGGGTGCACCAGGGCCTCTGGTACTCTCATCTCCTCCTAAAAGCTCTCTCCCTCCCTCCCTTATTCCCTTTCTTCCTCTCTCTCCTTCTCTCTCCCTCTCTCTTTCTCTCCCTCTCTCTCCCCCTCCATCCCTCTTTCTCCTTCTCTGTATGTCTCTGTCTCTGTCTCTGTCCCTCTGTGTCTGTCTGTCTCTCTCTCTGTCTCTGTCCTTCTCTCTTTCTGTCTCTCTCTCTCTCTCTGTCTCTTTCTGTCTCTGTCTCTGTCTCACTATCTTTTGGATGGGTTATTGTGCATGGGGGTGTCAGATGCTGTTCTCTGTGTGGCAGAACTAGATTAAAATGTAATTAGAAAATATAACAAAATTTAAAAATATAACATAGACGATATTTATATATTGTTTTTGAAGTCAATGTACACCCAAAGGCATCCTTGTGTATGGTGAGATGGACATCACTGATGTAGAAGATGTTTTAGATCTATTCTACTTGGTCCCAGAGAATAGAACCTGAAGCAGGGGTGGAGGTTTCCAAGAAGAGAATTCAGGATTGCTGGAAATACAGACTGCCTGACAAGGACAGTGCCAAATGGAATGAATTGTTGGTCAAAATGATGAGTTCTCCCTCCCTAGAGGTCGTCAGGTGAAGTCAGGATGGTCATTGTTAAGTACAGTAGAGCAAGGGCTCTTCACCCTTTATGTGCCCTAGACCCTTTGGCATCAGTTTGGTGAAGCTTCTGGATTCTTTCTCAGAGTAATGTTTTTAAATTCACAAAATAAAATACATAGGATTGCAAAGGAAACCAATTCTGTTGAAATACAGTTGTAGTCACTAATACTGGTCACATTTTAGGGTTTGTAAAGCACTTTACAAATATTATCCTATTTGATCCTTATAACAACCCTGAGACGGAAGGACTATGATTATCCCCATTTTACAGATGAGGAAACTGAGTCTGAAAGAGATAAAGTCAATTGTCCAGGTTCACACAGCTAGGAAGTGTCTGAGGTGGTATTTGAACAACAAGGTCAGGCACTCCAGGATAAGATCCCTGTCACAGGGGATATTATTATCAAGGTATAAGCTTGGTTCAACTCCTTGACTCTGCAGCCCCTCCCCCTCTGAGGTTCTGTGGTTCTACAGGACCATGGTTTGATTCTGTTCCATACCTGTGAGGGACTGAGGGGAGTAGGACAAGCAGTTAATTGTGGGAATTGAGTGAACCCCACCGACTCCACCTTGTGACTCAGTTCTGGAGCTAGCTCATTTCCTTTTCTATTTAATTATGGGTCTAGTCCAAATCTGTCTTGTGAGAAAAGTTTATTCAGTTGTGGGAATTGGGAGAAAATCTTATTGTATTATTTGAACCTAGTCCTGCATGGCTGGCAAACTGGACCACCTTTTCTTGCTGCTTAGGGACCCTTAACCAAAGACCTAGGTCATGCTGACCAGAAACGCGGTTGGATCCAAAGACTGACGCAAGTTTTCTCACAGTTGTACAGCTCAGGCAACCCATATGTCTTATTTGAACAATCCTTGTTTCCACGTTCCTTTGATTTTTTTACAGACACTTGTTGGGGGGAAGTGGGACACCTTTTTTTCAGAATTCAGAGAATTGCACCTGTTCACTCTTCCTGTGTCAACTTGGAAAATCCTAATCTTTCTTCCAATTAAAAATCAGACTACCTCGTGTTGTATTGTTTTCTTTTATTTGGTTTCTTTGATTGTTTTTAATGTATAAAACTCTGTCTCCCCTGTATTCAGGGTCTAATCCTAAGCTGAGGAAGAGGCCTGGTCCTAATTTGTTGGGCAATTGGCATACATTGCTTTATAAATCAATATGGTTGGAAGATCAAACCTTTGTTGCCTCAGTCTTTTCATCTTTCACCCACCATACTCGGCAACCCCCCATTTCCTGTACTGGGACTCTAGTATAAAAGAAGACTTTGCTGCTATCTCCCCTCTTCTTCTCCTCTTTCTCTCCCATGGCCTGTTAATTGTGATGTGTGTGTGTGTGTGTGTGTGTGTGTGTGTGTGTGTGTGTGTGTGTGCATGCACGCGCACCACAGACCTGTTCTTTCTCTGAGGTCACTGAGGTCAGGTTGGAGTTCTTAGACACACAGGACTTCTGAGCCTCTGCCCAGGGCTTTTTTTCGTTAGAAAAATAGTAGATATTCCCGTCATGCAGCTTCCAGCCTTCAGACACAAGTGTGAGGACAGTCCCTTAATGGTTGGGGAGAGACAGCACGTGAATAGGGGCTGCAGATCCCTCCAGCCCAGAGATTCTGAATCTTTTTATGCCATGGCTTCGTTTGGCAGTCTAGTGAAGCCTGTGGATTTTTTTTCAGAATAATGTCTTTAAATACATAAAGTAAAACACATAAAGCTACAAAGGAAACCAATTATGTTGAAATACACATATTGAATTTTTTTTAAAAGGTCCTCAGATCCCACGTTATGAACCTCTACAAGATGATTGATGGGAGTTACCAAGAGGGAGGATGTCTATGAAACTAACAGTTGTTCTCCTTCCTCCATCAATCTCCTCTGTATGCAGAGGCCACCTACAAAGCTTTGGGAACTCTTGCACACCTGAGCGAGACCTATGCATCTCCAGAGGTGGTATGACTTTAAGAGATAGGGCTAAAGGGAAGGGTATAACCATAGTAGCCAAATGGGGCTTGGGAACCCAGGAGTCTTATAAGGATTTGAGATCTCAGAGACAGACAGCAAAAGGCCCCTAGAAGAAGAAGATTGGACACTTGTGGCGTGCTTTTGGGACAATGTCAGTGGCAGCTCCAAGCTCTCAGACCAGAGGTCACATGAGACTGAGCCCCTCCCAGTTCGGGCCAATATTGTGGCCAATCAGAGCCTGGCTGGACAGCAACTGTCCAGTGAGCATCTGAACCAGTTTTTTGAATGTCCTTCCCTGAAGAGCCAGCATCCCAAGGGAAAAACTAGGAAATATCCACATCCACTTAACATGGGGGTTTATAAAAAATGATGGTAGTGGGGACTCACAGTGGCCAAGAAAAATCAACACTGACCACAAATGGGAAAGACAAGAGAAGTCCAAACAGACCTGAGGCCAAGCTGCCAGATGGGCCCCTGAGCTGGGGGAAGTTGGGTAATCCCAGAGAAAGACACATATGGACAGACAAGTGGATAGCAGGCAGGAGGCAGGGAACTGGACCTTTTGTCAAAGAACTTAATGTTATTGGCAAGTTGGTGAAGGTGAGTCACCCAGTAGTACCAGGTGCCACTCATCTCAGGATGCTCTAGCATGGAGAAGACTAAACTATCTCATGTGGCAAAGTATTGTTGTTGTTGGATTTATGCCTCACCCCCAGAGAGATCCCAAAGGAAGAGTCTGCTTCAGACCAGGGTATGACCCCCAGAGGATCTAACTTGCACAGGTAGTCATGAAACTTACGGTATTTATGTTGAAGTGCCTGATAGGAAGTGTTGAGTTTCTCCAAATAGCTCTTTTCCGTTTCCATAGCCACTAGGGTGGAGTTATCAATGCAGTCGCAAGGCACTGGTTTCCCATGTAGCCGTAGGCATGTGTTTTCCCATGAGTCTAAACATTGTACACAAACAGGCAAGATGGGGGAGGTGCAAGGCAGGTTCCTGAGACCACCTTTCAATTTCTGAGAAAAGTCAGAAAGGAAAGAATGGGACCCAAGCTCATTGGCTGGGTTGTTGATGACCATGGGGACATGGGAGCATATATTTAGATCTGAAAGGGACCTCAGAGGTCATCTAGAGTATAACCCCTCCTTTTACAGAAAAGGAAACTGACACCAAGGGGGATGAAATGGTTTACCTAAAATCATACAAATAATGCACAGTAGAGTCTGGATTTGAACCTGTGATCTGTGACTAAATCCAGCTCTCTTTCCATTGCACAAGACTGTAACAGTGATTTTGTGCTATCATAGAAATGACAGTCACCTCTAACATTCTGAAAGTAGCAACAGCCCCAAATTTTTTTTGGGGGGGAGGGAAGAAGTATCCTAGATAATTTTCAGTCATTTGGAGGCTTCACTGGTCAGATGCTTCCTCTTGGACTTTGCTTTCTTCCTGTCTGACCAGAAACAGAGGTTTGGAGCCCAGACCCCACTGGGGACTTACACAGAATAATCGTAGCTGTCAAGGAAGCCACCAGCATCAGAGCAAAGAAGATGAGGACAGCGTAAAGGATCCTGAGATTCTTGTAGGCTGGCTGTGTCTCTGCCTTTGGATTTACATCTGGGGAGGAAAGGAAAGTGTCGGTGAAAGGCCCTGGGGAAATAGCTTCCAAAGTTAGAACAGGCTCTTTGTCCCTGCTGGAGCTGACCGGATCCCTGGCTGGCCCTTATGGACCCAGAGAAGGGCGAAGGGAGACTGAAAGCTACATCAGCTTTCCAAGTCTGTTTTCCATTCCCTCTTCTTTTAACCTTGTCCTTTCTATTTTCCCTACCTCCCCTTCCCATGATGTCTTACTCCCTCTCTGTCTCCCCCCTCTTTCTTACATATGTGCACATTTATGCAAATCTGATTATTTTTGGACAGACGTATCTGTCTGCAGTGGCCACGTGAGCCTTGTCTAAATGCAAAAACTCATTTCTGACCATTAAAATTGGTCATCGTGACTTCTAATAACGACAGCTAATATTTCTAGAATGCTTTAAGGTTTGCAAAGTACTTTACATATGTTATCTCGTTTGATTCTTATAACTGTGCTGGGAGGTAGGGGCTGTTATTATCCCCATTTTATAGATGAGGAAACTGAGGCTTAAAGGACATAGAACCTGTACATGATAGCCTCCCAACAGGACCAGAGATGGGTTAGGAGCATGTATGATGAGATGAATCAAGAGCGTGCATAGCCTGCTAGGCTTTTCATCCAGATGGAGCAAGAACAGACTGAGAATGCCCTAGGGTGAGGAGGAAGTCCCTGGTGAGGACTCTCAAAGCTCTGGGGAGTAGTGATGGGCAGCCCCCAGAGTGTGGCTGTATTGTGAAGATCTCGACAGCTCAGGTCTGGGGCCTCTGAGGTCTATCAGAACTGGACAGCTCGGATCTGGGGCCTCTGAGGTCTATCAGAACTGGACAGCTCAGGTCTGGGGGCTCTGAGGTCTATCAGAACTGGACAGCTCAGGTCTGGGGGCTCTGAGGTCTATCAGAACTGGACAGCTCAGGTCTGGGGGCTCTGAGGTCTATCAGAACTGGACAGCTCAGGTCTGGGGGCTCTGAGGTTTATAACACTCTGTCCTGAGGTGCCCTGAGGACACTAAAGATTCAGCTCTCTGAAACTCAAAGATCAAGGAAGGGAGGTTAATGTCAGGAGGTGTAGGTCAGCGGGTTTTTCCCCAAAGACTACATTTATACCTAGAACAAATGAAGCAAGACACGAAAAATGAAATAAAAGCTTGGAGGAAAGACTAGGAAAGAGAGTAAGTAGCCCAAAAGAGAAATAAATAATCATTACTCAAGAAATGGGTTCCGAGGCAGCTAGGGGGTGCCACAGCTGGACCTGGAGTTAGGAAGAGCTGAGTTCAAATCCAGCTTCAGACACTTACTAGCTGGGTGACCCTGGGCAAGTTACTTAACATCTCTCAGCCTCAGTCTCCTCAACTGCAAAATGGGGATATTAACAGCACCTAGCACCCAGGGTTGTTGTGAGGGTCAAATGAAAGGGAACAAACAGGAAACACACAAGTGTAGAAAACAGGAAGAAGGGGGGGGCAGAACTTGTTATTTGTCGTACTCAGAGGAAGAATCCGCAAACATGGAGGAAGGGGTGGAGGAGTGGGCATCATATGAACCTTTTCTGAAATGGACAAAGGAGTCAGAAACAAAACAAACCAGTGAAAGGAGGGGAAGATGATGAGAATCTAAGCAGGTGACTTATGTTGCCTCTTAGACAATAGGGGAGTAACTGAACTAATTGAGGTATATGAATGTAATGGAATATTAATTAAGAAATGATGAAAAATAGGATGTTAAAGAATCCTGGGTAGTATGAACTGATGCAGAGTGAAGTGAGCAGAACCTGGAGGGTGATTTATACTAGGCTGGCAACATCATAAAAATTTTGAGAGGTTTAAATTTAATATTTTATTTTCCTCCTGTTACATGTGAAAACAATTTTTAACATTTCCCCCCCCCAGATTTTGAGTTACAAATTCTCTTCTTCCTCCCCTCCCCCCCATTGAGAAGGCAAGCATTTTGACATAGGTCATACATGTGTAGGCATGCAAAACACATTTCTATGTAAGTCATGATGTGAAAGAAAACACGGACAAAAACTGCTCCCAAAATAAAGAAAATAAAGAAAAAGTATCTTTGGTCTGCCTTTAGGCTCCATCAGTTCTTCATCTAGAGATGGACAACACCTTTCATCATAAGTCCTTCAGAATTGTCTTAGATCATCGTATTGCTGAGAATAGCTAAGTTACTCACAGTAGATCATTATACAATATTGCTGTTCCTATGCACAATGTTCAAAGATTTGGTCAATACAATGGTTAACTGTGTCTATGGAAAACCCATGATAAAGCATGGTACCCACGTCCTGACAGAGGCAATGGACATAAGATGCAGAAAGATACATATATGCATACATACACACATATTTACTTTGTCACTGTTTAGATTCATTTTGCTTGACTGTATTATTTATTACTTTTTTTTTGTTGGCTTAGTTTTTAATTGAAGGTACCAAAGGAAAGAGGTTATTCATGGTGAACTTCCTCACCCTCCAAAAGAGGGACATGGAAACATTTTTTTAAATGCACAGAGGAGACCAGAAGGCAGCTCAGAAGGAAGCATAGCCAAGCAGGACCGTTTTGAAAGTAACATATAGAATTTCTTATATACTGTTTTAAAATAAATTAGCAATTCATAATTCATAGGGAATTTTCTTTCTGTATTCTTGGTATATGGAAATAGTCTTTTTTTTAAATGTTTAAGTTAAAAAGAATGAAACAAAAGAAAAAAGCAGGCATTGTGATAGCACCACTTTTACAGAATCACAGTCATATAATTTGAGAGGTCATAATGTAAATACAGTCAGGTAATGTGACATAGTGGATAGAAAGCTATCCTTGAAGGTAGGAAGATCTGGGTTCAAATCTTACCTCTGACACATACTAGCTGTGTGACCTAGGGAAGCTTTAGCATACCTCAGGTGACTCTCAGTGATGATAAGTATCAGATGACTTGCCATCTCATCATCTCTACCTTCTCAATATCTCCTAAACACACCTCTGACTCTCTACTCACCCAGCCAACCCCTTTAGACCCTCATCTTGCCTGGTCTGTTGCAATAGCCTCCTAATTGGTGTCCCTGCCTCAACTCTCCCCTTTCAGATGCCAAAAAGATCTTCCTAAAGTGCAGGTCTGGCCTTTACTCAAGAAACTCGAGTGATTCCCTTTTACCTCCAGAATCAAACTTAAAATCTTCTGTTGACAGAAGCCAGGAAGACCTGGGTTGAAATCTTACCTAAGAGACTTTAGAAAAGTCATTTAAGTTTAGTTCCTCAGTTTCCTCACTTGTAAAATAAGGAGGGTGTTGAACTAGATTACTTCTAGATTACCCCTTCTGACTCGAATTCTGTGATCCTTTGAACTTTGTTCCTCCACAAAATCTTAGCAATCTTTGGCTTGGTCTCCACAGGGCCCCCTTACCTGCCTCCAGCTGGGTTTCACTCAAACTATTCAGACCTCATTTACTGAGAACCCCCTGCATGCTGAGCACTAATTTTTAGAGGTAGCCATTTCATTAGGGAATATTTTTGTGTGATGATGACAATTCATTATACAGGAAAAGAGCTAATGTGATATTAGGTCATCTTCCAAGAATAGTAAGATGATATATTCTTCCAGTGCCCTCTGCCCTTATCAGAGCATGATGTTCAGTACTGAGCGCTGTACTTGGAGAAGGACATTGATAGGTTGGAGAGTGTCCAGAGAAGGGTGACCAGGACAGTGCAGGGCCTTGAGTCCATATCATATTGGGATCATTTGGAAGGACCAGGACACTTTTAGCCTTGAAAATGGAAGACTGGGGGAGAAGAAAGATATGGGAAGGAGACAGGAAAGCTGCATTCAAGTATTTGATGGGCTGTGATTTGAAGAAAGGATTAGATTTGTTCTTTTTGGCTCCAGAGGGCAATGAGGTGAAGTTGCAAAAAGGTCAGTTAGGCTTGATGTAGAGAAAACTTCCTAACACCTCGTAGGCTCCCCCTCCTAGAAAGGAGAGTCTGGATCATTCTTCTTTGGTTGTGCTTGTGGGGATTCCTTTCATGTATGGGTTAGATTTAACAGCAGCTGATGCTTCTTCTAACCAACCTTCAGATTCTGTGATGTGACTTTCGCTTCCCTACTTCATCCTGTAGGGAGGCAGCATAGCTGGTCATGGAGTCAGAAAGACCTAGCACACACCTGGTCAGTGCAGGAAGTGAGGGGTGGGATCCCTGTTGGTGGTAGACACTTGCAGGAGAGCAGAGTCCTTGGTTTCAGTTCTGGGGCAGAGAGGACAGCTGTGGGTTGTAGCCACCAGATGGACTGCAGAGAACAAGATCATTTGTGGGACAGTGTGGCTAGGGGCCCTATGGCTTAGGAGTGGAGAGGAGAGACCAAGGTTAAGCCCCAGGGACAGACCTTAGAAAATAACACTAACAAGAACCTGGGGCTTGGGGCATCATTCCCCATACCTCGGGTCAACAACTTGATTACACTAACGGCTGCTAAAAACAAAACAAATAAATAAATAAATAAATAAAATGAGTAAGCAAAGGAGAAAGAAACCAACCATAGATAGTTATTATGGGGATAGAGAAGATCTGGGTTCATATTCAGAGGAAGATAATGGAGCTAAAAAAGCCACACTTTTTTTTCAGTGAGAAATGTCAAATGATCCCAAGCACATAAAGAGTTCTTAGAATGTAAAAAGGATGTTAGAAATCAAATAAGAGAAATTGAGAAAAAAATAGAAAAAACATAAGAGCAATAAAAGAAGATTATGAAAATAAAGTCAACCAATTTGAAATAGGGAATCAAAAACTTAAGGAAGAAAATAATTCCTTGAAAAATAGAATTGGGCAACGGGAAGGTAAGGATGTTCTAAGACATCAAGAAATCGTGAAACAGAACCAGAAGAATGAAAAAATAGAAGAGAAAGTGAAACATCTCATCAGAAAAACAACTGATTTAGAGAACAGATTTAGGAGAAATAATATAAGAATAGTCAGACAACCTGAAAA